TCTGGCACAAGCTACCTGCCAACGGCCGTGAAGGGCTCGTATTCCGCAGTCGTCACGTTTACGTCGCTTCGGCTTCACATATAGCCATCCTAGACCCCTTCACAACCGAACAGCGTGTTATGTGGACTCACCTTAACCGAGCAAATTGCGTTTTTGAAGTCTGTAAGTGAGCTTCCTGCTTACTCGCATGATTTGCTGTCATTAAATATTAACGATCAGCCAGTAAAAATAAAAATGTCTGCTTAATTTGCATATTAGCGACCTAACATTATTATAATGTAATACCTTAACAGAAAATTCAAAGGGCATTGTTTAGTACACACCATAGCAACTCTGATAGGAACTTTCCATATTTTAAGATAAAACCCAATAGCCTAATTTAATTGGGGTAATATAATATTATTTTCTATTGTCACTCAAGCATTATTGGTAAAAATTCAGTAACCAATGCCTGCCTTCTTTTTGACACACTCAGGCTACTATAAATGACTTTAAACTAATTTTCGATTCAGTTAAAATCATTGGTAAACTAAAAACTTACTTATGGTTTTATGGTGATAAAATTGCCACCATTACTCTTAGCTTTTGGTATGCAATTTTATCTTCCATCAATATGTACTTTTAATTTGAAACTAACATATAACTTAAAAGTGAACTCAAGAAAAAAATTTTTATGTAAGCAATATGCAAATATAGGAAGTAATGATTTATTAATTATTTTTGTTGTGCATCAATATGCCAAATTCTCTGCATGTGCATACAGTTCATGCTTATCAATTGTTTTATTTCTATAAGTGAATGAATTTCTTTTGGACAATGAGACTCCTGTCCAGCTCACTGAATCAAGTATGACTAATGCCGACGTCATTCCGGTGTCTCTGAGCTCTGATTCCATTCCTTCCACTGTCACAACTACTTCTAATGCTGGAATTCTCGCCACTGCTGCAGACGTCATCCCACATCAAGACTCTAGGCCAGTCGCAATCTCTGGCAGGCGTGCCTCTGTGTCAGGGGAAGCCTCCGCCTCATTTTCACCCGCAAAGCGCCGGCGAGTCGACGTTGAAGGTGTTCGTCCTCCTACTGCTCGTCTGGTCAGCCAGTTAGCGGCAGTCTCGGTAATTTTATTTTTGCAAAAATTTAATTATTTTTATGAACTTTCATGTTCATTGATTTCATTGCTATAGTTAATATTATTTAAAATTAGCAGGAAGTTGTTTGACCTTGTTTTCGTAACTTGGTCATAACGTAGAAGAACGTACCTTGTCCTGAGTCCATGTTATGCATAATTATTTCCAAAGTCGGGCCGTTGACGTGGTACATTCCCAGGCGTTTCGCCAGCATCGTCAGTGAGTTTTACCATTCGTAGCACCATATTACAGCTCGTCAGAGACAGGTGAAGCCGATCCTTTGACCAAACGTGTGCTAAACAGTTATGGTATCTCCCATTCTCCCCTGGCCTATTCATATTTCCTACATCCTCCAATCGCGCCTTCACTGTCACAATATTTTACTTGTTTAATTAAATGTGGTACAGTGTGCCCTTTTGAGCGGCTTTCATGAGAACCCTCCGCATTCCACGCTGGCATTCTCACCTCCGTTCATCCTTGTGCTGGGAATGTTCATCAGAGTCTGCCATATTGTTACGCAGTCCTCCTTCCCTAGGTCTTACCCAGTTTCTCTATTGCCTCGTAAGATCCTCCTCTGCCCTCTACCTGGTTTACATATTTCACTCGACCCCTGCCACCCCATCTGTGCCACCCGAGGCATTATTAGCCCCACCCTGCGTCTGGGTGACTAATTCGTGGCTAAAGCCTCTTAGTAAGTTTCATGGTCAGGCCTTTGCCACATGGACTACGTCTCTTATAAAAACTACTGTCAGCCCACTAGCTCCCATCTCCGCCGCGTCTATCCTGTTTCTATCTCTAATACCAAGTCTATGACTCTCATGCCCTAGTCTCTTGTGTGCCAACCCACAAACATTGTGGTTCAACATTGAACCTAACCAAAGCAAGCAGTACCACA